TTCTACCCTTTGCTGTTCCTTCCAAAACAGTAGAGAAAGTTTTGGCCTTAGACTCACCTTAGCTACTTCTTCTCAAGGGGACAATAAAAGACATCTGAGATGTTCTTAGCGGCCAGTTCCAGAGGGTGTTTCCACTGACAAATGGCAATGTAATGCACTGGCACTAAAATACATTTACAAACATCATCGTCTCAACTGCATGCCAACCGTTGGGTCCATTGACCCAAAACCCAAAGTTCAACCCCACCCACTGCGGTTTCATCGAAAACTCCATTGACCCAAAACCCAAAGTTCAACCCCACCCACTGAGGTTCCATTGAAAGCTCCATTGACCCAAAACCCAAAGCTCATCCCCACCCACTGCAGTTCCATAGAAAACTCCATTGAACCAAAACCCAAAGTTCAACCCCACTCTCTGTGGTTCCATCGAAAACTCCGTTGACCCCAAAACCCAAAGCTTATGCCCACCCACTGAGGTTCCATTGAAAAATCCCTTGATCCAAAACCCAAAGCTTATCCCCACCCACTGCAGTTCCATCGAAAACTCCATTGACCCAAAACCCAAAGCTCATCCCCACCCACTGCGGTTCCATCGAAAACTTCCTACCTTTTGCTGTTCCTTTCAAAATAGAAGAGAAAGTTTTGGCCTTAGATTCACCTTAGCTACCTCTTCTCAGGGTGGCAATAAAAGGCATCTGAGGCTCCTAATGACGAAACCTTTCTTATCGGCCAGTTCCAGAGGGTGTTTCCACTGACAAATGGCAATGTAATGCGCTGGCACTAAAACACATTTACAAACATCATCGTCTCAACTGCGTTCCAACCGTTGGGTCCATTGACCCAAAACCTAAAGTTCAACCCCACTCTCTGTGGTTCCATCGAAAACTCAGTTGACCCAAAACCCAAAGCTTATGCCCACCCACTGCAATTCCATTGAAAACTCCATTGACCCAAAACCCAAAGTTCAACTCCACTCTCTGTGGTTCCATCAAAAACTCCGTTGACCCAAAACCCAAAGCTTATGCCCACCCACTGAGGTTCCATTGAAAAATCCATTGATCCAATACCCAAAGCTTATCCCCACCCACTGCAGTTCCATCGAAAACTCCATTGACCCAAAACCCAAAGCTTATCCCCACCCACTGCAGTTCCATCGAAAACTACCTACCCTTTGCTGTTCCTTCCAAAATCGAAGAGAAAGTTTGGGCCTTAAATTCACCTTAGCTACCTCTTCTCAGGGGGGCAATAAAAGGCATCTGAGGCTCCTAATGATGAAACCTTTCTTATTGGCCAGTTCCAGAGGGTGTTTCCACTGACAAATGGCAATGTAATTCACTGGCACTAAAACACATTTACAAACATCATCGTCTCAACTGGATGCCAACCGTTGGGTCCGTTGACCCAAAACCCAAAGTTCAACCAAACCCACTGCAGTTCCATCGAAAACTCCATTGACCCAAAACCCACAGCTCATCCCCACTCACTGCGGTTCCATTGAAAACTCCATTGACCCAAAACCCAAAGCTCATCCCCACCCACTGCGGTTCCATCGAAAACTACCTACCCTTTGCTGTTTATTCCAAAACCGAAGAGAAAGTTTTGGCCTTAGATTCACCTTAGCTACCTCTTCTCAAGGGGACAATAAAAGGCATCTGAGGCTCCTAATGACGAAACCTTTGTTATCGGCCAGTTCCAGAGGGTGTTTCCACTGACAAATGGCAATGTAATTCACTGGCACTAAAACACACATTTACAAACATCATCGTCTCAACTGGATGCCAACCGTTGGGTCCGTTGACCCAAAACCCAAAGTTCAACCAAACCCACTGCAGTTCCATCGAAAAACTCCATTGACCCAAAACCCACAGCTCATCCCCACTCACTGCGGTTCCATTGAAAACTCCATTGACCCAAAAACCCAAAGCTCATCCCCACCCACTGTGGCTCCATCAAAAACTACCTACCCTTTGCTGTTCCTTCCAAAATCGAAGAGAAAGTTTTGGCCTTAGATTCACCTTAGCTACCTCTTCTCAGGGGGACAATAAAAGGCATCTGAGGCTCCTAATGACGAAACCTTTGTTATCGGCCAGTTCCAGAGGGTGTTTCCACTGACAAATGGCAATGTAATGCGCTGGCACTAAAACACATTTACAAACATCATCGTCTCAACCGCATGCCAACCGTTAACCGTTTTCATACGCCAAGGAGAAACGTGGTTCACGTCAACATGTGACCCGCAAAGGCCCGTGTGTTTAGCTCTAAAAAGGTTAACAATTTCTGGAGGTCCGCCTCCCTCCACGCTTGATAAGAAAGGCATGAGGCTGAATGCCTGATTAAGCTATGCCGCTATTTCCCATTTCATGGCTGTGCGTGCCTATTCATTAGCCCTCGCAAGAACAAGCACAGCCTTTCAGGAGAAACTTAGATAAGGCCCCCGAAAAATTCATGCAACGGTGGAGACCTTAGATACGAAGAGCGATCGCCTTGGAGTGGTTAGAACCCCCCCCCTTCCCAGAAGAACAAATATAGCAAGGGAGATCTTTAGACCGCAGTGTTTTCAGCAAGAGCCAGACGGGTCGTTAACAGTAGACAATGAAGATATGTATAATACAAAGGATGAAATGATGGAGCCTCTACCCTTGGGTCCTCCCGTAATTGGCGTTAACCGAAGAATGGCCGGAACTTTCGTAGCTACATGAATCGGCCATTTTTGCAGGAAAGCCTGATAAGTGGTTTGCTTGCACCGCCGTTTAAGATAGGACAATGTAGTTCTAGAAGCGGGAGAAGAGGAGCAACTGATATCATGAAGCTTTTTAACCGTGGATGGCTGAAGGAATTAATACGCGCGAAGAAAATGGAGTTCTATTCAATCGTACATAGATATGCAATGGAGGACTAGGGACATGGGGCCTGGAAATTTCAAAGCAACCAAACTGGCCCTTTCATAGCAATGACAGTTTCCTCCAGATTAAAAAAAATGTCAACGCATGCAGTGTGTGTCGTGGTCATTGGTGGCCATGGTGAAAGGTGGGCTTTGTGATAATGCCAAATTTTAACCCCGGCCAGCTGTCTCTTCTTTTGCATTAAATGGCACCCAGCCAGGGGCAGACTGACCATTTGGAAACTCAGGCACTGCCCGAGGACCCGGGGTCAGAAGGGGGCCCCATGAGATGCCTCTGGTACCTTTTTCATAGGCTTTTTTGAGTTTGGGCACAGTCACAGGGGGCCCCATGATCCCCTATTGCCGGGGGGCCCCATAAGTTGTCAGTCCGCCCCTGCACCCAGCATCATTCAACCAGCCTCCAATGAGCCCAAGGTGTCATGAGTACATTTCCAGGGGGTACAACATTGGATGTCCCTGAGCTTACAGTGCAAAACTGCCATGAATGGTGCTGGTGGCACAATGAGGACCACCTACAGCTGCTGTTGGAAAAAAGCAAGGACTTCAGGACATTCGATGACATTTCAGAAGACAGTTCAGAAAAAAGGATGCATGCAAAAACGTATTAAAATGACATGTTGGGGGATTGGGCTTAAGAGCACATGATGTGAGGAGCATTCTTCCCACTGACCACCAACGTAAGGAAAATTCTTCATATCAGCCTCCAATGTAAGGGACATTCTTCCCACTGACCCACCAATGTAAGGGACATTCTTCCCACTGACCACCAATGTAAGGGACATTCTTCCCACTGACCACCAATGTAAGGAACATTCTTCATATCAGCCTCCAATGTAAGGGACATTCTTCATATAGGCCTACAATGTAAGGGACATTCTTCCCACTGACCCCAATGTAAGGGACATTCTTCAAACTGACCACCCAATGTAAGGGACATTCTTCCCACTGACCCCCAATGTAAGGGACATTCTTCCCACTGACCCCAATGTAAGGGGACATTCTTCCCACTGACCACCAATGTAAGGGACATTCTTCCCACTGACCACCAATGTAAGGGACATTCTTCCCACTGACCCCCCAATGTAAGGGACATTCTTCCACTGACTGACCCCCAATGTAAGGGACATTCTTCCCACTGGCCACCAATGTAAGGGACATTCTTCCCACTGACCACCCAATGTAAGGGACATTTCTTCCCACTGACCACCAATGTAAGGGACATTCTTCCCACTGACCCCCCAATGTAAGGGACATTCTTCCCACTGACCCCCAATGTAAGGGGACATTCTTCCCACACTGACCACCAATGTAAGGGACATTCTTCCCACTGACCACCAATGTAAGGGACATTCTTCCCACTGACCCCAAATGTAAGGGACATTCTTCCCACTGACCCCCAATGTAAGGGACATTCTTCCCACTGACCACCAATGTAAGGGACATTCTTCCCACTGACACCAATGTAAGGGACATTCTTCCCCACTGACGCCCCCCAATGTAAGGGACATTCTTCCCACTGACCTCCACTGAAGGGACCCCAATGTAAGGGACATTCTTCCCACTGACCACCAATGTAAGGGACATTCTTCCCACTGACCTCCCAATGTAAGGGACATTCTTCCACTGACCTCCAATGTAAGGGACATTCTTCCCACTGACCACCAATGTAAGGGACATCCTTCCCACTGACCACCAATGTAAGGGACATTCTTCCCACTGACCCCCAATGTAAGGGACATTCTTCCCACTGATCCCCAATGTAGGGACATTCTTCCCACTGACCACCAATGTAAGGGACATTCTTCCCACTGACCACCAATGTAAGGGACATTCTTCCCACTGACCACCAATGTAAGGGACATTATTCCCACTGACCACCAATGTAAGGGACATTCTTCCCACTGACCACCAATGTAAGGACATTCTTCCTACTGACACACCAATGTAAGGGACATTCTTCCCACTGATCACCAATGTAAGGGACATTCTTCCCACTGACCACCAATGTAAGGGACATTCTTCCCACTGACCACCAATGTAAGGGACATTCTTCCCACTGATCCCCAATGTAAGGGACATTCTTCCCACTGACCCCCAATGTAAGGGACATTCTTCCCACTGACCCCAAAATGTAAGGGACATTCTTCCCACTGATCACCAATGTAAGGGACATTCTTCCCACTGACCACCAATGTAAGGGACATTCTTCCCACTGACCACCAATGTAAGGGACATTCTTCCCACTGACCCCCAATGTAAGGGACATTCTTCCCACTGATCCCCAATGTAAGGGACATTCTTCCCACTGACCGCCAATGTAAGGGACATTCTTCCCACTGACCCCCAATGTAAGGGACATTCTTCCCACTGACCACCAATGTAAGGGACATTCTTCCCACTGACCACCAATGTAAGGGACATTCTTCCCACTGACCCCCAATGTAAGGGACATTCTTCCCACTGACCCCAATGTAAGGGACATTCTTCCCACTGACCTTCCAATGTAGGGGACATTCTTCCCACTGACCACCAATGTAAGGGACATTCTTCCCACTGACCACCCAATGTAAGGGACATTTTCCTTCCCCACTGACCCTTCCCATGTAAGGGACATTCTTCCCACTGACCCCCAATGTAAGGGACATTCTTCCCACTGACCCCCAATGTAAGGGGACATTCTTCCCACTGACCACCAATGTAAGGGACATTCTTCCCACTGACCACCAATGTAAGGGACATTCCTTCCCCACTGACCTCCAATGTAAGGGACATTCTTCCACTGACCCCCAATGTAAGGGACATTCTTCCCACTGACCACCAATGTAAGGGACATTCTTCCTACTGATCACCAATGTAAGGGACATTCTTCCCACTGATCACCAATGTAAGGGACATTCTTCCCACTGATCCTCCAATGTAAGGGACATTCTTCCCCACTGACCACCAATGTAAGGGACATTCTTCCCACTGACCACCAATGTAAGGGACATTCTTCCCTCTGATCCCCAATGTAAGGGACATTTCTTCCCACTGACCCCCAATGTAAGGGACATTCTTCCCACTGACCTCCAATGTAAGGGACATTCTTCCCACTGATCACCAATGTAAGGGACATTCTTCCCACTGACCCACCAATGTAAGGGACATTCTTCCCACTGACCACCAATGTAAGGGACATTCTTCCCACTGATCCCAATGTAAGGGACATTCTTCCCACTGACCGCCAATGTAAGGGACATTCTTCCCACTGACCCCCACCAATGTAAGGGACATTCTTCCCACTGATCCCCAATGTAAGGGGACATTCTTCCCACTGACCCTCCAATGTAAGGGACATTCTTCCCACAGACCACCAATGTAAGGGACATCTTCCCACTGACCACCAATGTAAGGGACATTCTTCCCACTGACCCCCCAATGTAAGGGACATTCTTCCCACTGACACCCCAATGTAAGGGACATTCTTCCCACAGACCCCCAATGTAAGGGACATTCTTCCCACTGACCCCCAATGTAAGGGACATTCTTCCCACTGATCACAATGTAAGGGACATTCTTTCCCACTGATCACCAATGTAAGGGACATTCTTCCCACTGATCACCAATGTAAGGGACATTCTTCCCTCTGATCCCAATGTAAGGGACATTCTTCCCACTGATCACCAATGTAAGGGACATTCTTCCCCACTGATCACCAATGTAAGGGACATGCTTCTTCCACTGACCCCCAATGTAAGGGACATTCTTCCCACTGACCACCAATGTAAGGGACATTCTTCCCACTGACCACCAATGTAAGGGACATTCTTCCCACTGACCCCCCCAAATGTAAGGGGACATTCTTCCACTGATCCCCAATGTAAGGGACATTCTTCCACTGACCTCCAATGTAGGGGACATTCTTCCCAGACCACCAATGTAAGGGACATTCTTCCCACTGACCACCAATGTAAGGGACATTCTTCCCACTGACCTCCAATGTAAGGGACATTCTTCCCACTGACCCCCCAATGTAAGGGACATTCTTCCCACTGACCACCAATGTAAGGGACATTCTTCCACTGACCACCAATGTAAGAGTGACATTCTTCCCACTGACCCCTGGGAATGTAAGGGACATTCTTCCCACTGACCCCCAATGTAAGGGACATTCTTCCCACTGACCCCCCGAATGTAAGGGACATTCTTCCCACTGATTCCAATTGTAAGGAGCATTCTTCCACTGATCCCCAATGTAAGGGACATTCTTCCCACTGACCCCCAATGTAAGGGACATTTCTTCCCACTGATCACCAATGTAAGGGGACATTCTTCCCACTGACCCCCAATGTAAGGGCCACATTCTTCCCACTGATCACCAATGTAAGGAGCATTCTTCCCACTGATCCCCAATGTAGGGGAGACATTCTTCCCACTGACCCCCAATGTAAGGGACATTCTTCCCACTGATCACCAATGTAAGGAGCATTCTTCCCACTGATCCCCAATGTAAGGGACATTCTTCCCACTGACCCCCAATGTAAGGGACATTCTTCCCACTGACCCCCAATGTAGGGCATTCTTCCCACTGACCCCCAATGTAATGGACATTCTTCCCACTGACCCCCCAATGTAAGGGACATTCTTCCCACTGATCACCAATGTAAGGGACATTCTTCCCACTGATCCCCAATGTAAGGGACATTCTTCCCACTGACCCCAATGTAAGGGACATTCTTCCCACTGACCCCCAATGTAGGGCATTCTTCCCACTGACCCCCAATGTAGGACATTCTTCCCACTGACCCCCAATGTAAGGAACATTCTCCTCACCAACCACCAATATAAGGAACATTCTTCCCAATAACCATCAATGTAAGAGACATTCTTCCAGTGACCCCAGTCAACTGGTTATAGAAGAGGTTCCTCAAGACCTGAAAATTATTTTGAGGGTCCCTCAGGGGTAAATAGGTTGAGAACGGCTGCCCTAGACTGTCATTATCTCATGTAAGTAGTGCCCAGGCTGAGTGAGCTCCACACGTTGCCAAACTCCTCATCGTATTTCTAGCTGATATCTCGAAGTGTGTTTGAAGATGTCCAGAAAATTGGCCAAAACTGGCAGCTTTCATGTACCGATTCCTCATATTTTCAGATTAACAAAAGTTTTTAAACTATTTCCAACAGCAAAACAAATCCGTATTGATCTTCGAGGCCCGGCGCATATCTCATGTTCTTGTCAGCAACACTCTGGATACTAATAAACGTCGGGATTAATAATTCCTCTTGGATACTAATATCCGTCTGAGCCGGTAATTCCTCGCTCTGTCATCTGCTCTGCCGATGTCATCATTGGAGGCTTCTACTTCTGCCAGTCTTCAGAGATAATTAGTCACCAAGGAGGAGAACCAGTAAAATGAAACCTCACAGAGCATGCAGGAAGCAGAAGAAAGCAGCAGATGGAGGACGATTCCATCTGGGGTCTGAGGAGGTTGGAGTAGGTTAAAGAGTAGGAAAAGGATGAGAGCACCACAGATATACGGAGAATCTGGTTAAAAAAATACTAATTTTGGGCATTTCGATGCTCGCAGTCTGACCGGTGACCAGATCAAGCACCATTTTATCCTTTTACTTCATGTGTTGTGGTCCAGTGTTCTCCTTATTTACTGCCAGCATGTAATCCCATAGAACAGTGGTCTCCAAGCTGCGGCCTGTGGGCTGGATGAGGACCTTTGTCTCACTTTATCCGGTCCTTAGGGCATTCTTTCTCCCGCTGATACAAGGTATTATTCTTCCCAGGGGCGGATTGACCATTTGGAAACTCGGGTTAGTAGGGGGCACTATGAGATGCCCCTGGTACCTTTTTCATAGGCTTTTTTGAGTTTGGGCAAGGACACAGGGGCCCCATGATCCCCTATTGCCCGGAGGCCCCATGAGTTGGCCATCCGCCCCTGCTTCCTCCCATTGACATCAAAAACAAGTCACTATTCCTTTCGCTGATACCAACTGTGGGTCATTATTCCTCCTATTGACATAAATGATGGGGGCATAATTCTAACCAACTGACACCAATGATGGGGCACTATACCTTCCACTGACTCCAACCATGAGCACTATTCCTTCCACTGACACCAATGATGGGGCACTATTCCTCCCACTGACACCAATGATGGAGCACTATTTCTTCCACTGACACCAATGATGGGGCACTATTCCTCCCACTGACACCAATGATGGGGCACTATTCCTCCCACTGACACCAATGATGGGGCACTATTCCTCCCACTGACACCAATGATGGGGCACTATTCCTACCACTGACACCAATGATGGGGCACTATTCCTCCCACTGACACCAATGATGGGGCACTATTCCCCCCACTGATACCAATGATGGGACACTATTCCTCCCACTGACACCAATGATGGGGCAATATTCCTCCCACTGATACCAATGATGGGGCACTATTCCTCCCACTGACACCAATGATGGGGCACTATTCCTCCCACTGATACCAATGGTGGAGCACTATTCCCCCCCACTGACACCAATGATGGGACACTATTCCTCCCACTGACACCAATGATGGGACACTATTCCACCCACTGACACCAATGATGGGGCACTATTCCTCCCACTGACACCAATGATGGGGCACTATTCCTCCCACTGATACCAATGACTGGACACTATTCCTCCCACTGACACCAATGATGGAGCACTATTCCTCTCACTGATACCAATGACTGGACACTATTCCTCCCACTGATACCAATGATGGGGCACTCTTCCACCCACTGACACCAATGATGGGGCACTATTCCTCCCACTGATACCAATGACTGGACATTATTCCTCCCACTGACACCAATGATGGGGCACTATTCCTCCCACTGATACCAATGACTGGACACTATTCCTTCCACTGATACCAATGACTGGACACTATTCCTCCCACTGATACCAATGTTGGGGCACTATTCCTCCCACTGATACCAATGACTGGACACTATTCCTCCCACTGATACCAATGATGGGGCACTATTACTCCCACTGACACCAATGATGGGGCACTATTCCTCCCACTGACACCAATGATGGGGCACTATTCCTCCCACTGACTTCAACCTTGGGCACTATTCCTCCCACTGACACCAATGATGGAGCACTATTCCTTCCACTGTCTCCAATCTTGGGCGCTATTCCTTTCTCTGACACCAATGGTGGGGCACTATTCTTTCCACTGTTTCCAATCTTAGGCATTATTTCTCCCACTGACACCAATGATGGGGTGCTATTCCTCCCACTGACTCCAACTTTGGGCACTATTCCTTCCACTGACACCAATATTGGTGCACTAGTCTACCCTCTGATACCAATGACGGGACACTATTCCTCATCCTACTAACCACAGGTGCTATGTCATTTTTTTTTTTACTTCCACTGAGCCCCAGGCCTGAGACACCATCTACTTCCATTGATGCTGGGGCATTTTCCATTACCAATGGCCACAGTTTGGTCACCCCTAAAGTCTGAAGGCCATATTAATAAAGTTTGTAGACCCATGCCCTTCGAACCAACATTCCCATATATAATATTTGTACTGGCCCCGGGTGGCAGACTTTTGGGACCCCCCCACATTCAGTACAAATGCATATTTACTGTGCATAGATAGATCAATAAAGGTGAAAAGTAGCTTCTGTGGTGCCTTGATCTCTTTGATGATAAAAACGCATAGCGAATGAAGAGGTCCTGTGTGAAGACATTTTTGGGGCCCCCCACATTCAGTACAAATGCATATTTACTGTGCATGCGAAAAGTAGCTTCTGTGGTGCCCTGATCTCTTGGGGTCAGACGGGGAACGTCTTCTCTACTTCCTGACCCAATGGTACCAAGAGGAAAAAAGAAAAGCATTCCCTATGTCTAATTGCTGATGTAGAATTTTGGGGCCTTCCAAGGTCCTAACCGTGCTCTTGGATTTTAATATCCAGGTTGGGTAACCAGCACTTGAATGGAGTTACCCAACCTGGGTATTAAAAATCAAGAGTACAGTTAGGGTCTTAGAAGGCCCCAAAATTCCAGAGGGCCCTTGTGCAGCTGCATGGTCTGAGCTCTTGGTTTTTAATATCCAGGTTGGGTAACCAGCACTTGAATGGAGTTACCCAACCTGGGTATTAAAAATCAAGAGCTCAGACCATGCAGCTGCACAAGGGCCCTCTGGAATTTTGGGGCCTTCTAAGACCCTAACTGTACTCTTGATTTTTAATACCCAGGTTGGGTAACTCCATTCAAGTGCTGGTTACCCAACCTGGATATTAAAATCCAAGAGCACGGTTAGGACCTTGGAAGGCCCCAAAATTTCACATCAGCAATTAGACATAGGGAATACTTTTCTTTTTTCCTCTTGGTACCATTGGGTCAGGAAATAGAGAAGACATTCTCTGCCTGACCTCAGATGTGCATTTTTATCATCCAAGAGATCAAGGAACCACAGAAGCTACTTTTCACCTTTATTGATCTATCTATGCACACTAAATATGCATTTGTACTGAATGTAGGGGGCCCCAAAAGTCTGCCACCCGGGGCCAGTACAAATAATATATATGGGAATGTTGGTTCGAAGGGCATGGGTCTACAAACTTTATTAATATGGCCTTCAGACTTTAGGGGGGCCAGACTGTGGCCATTGGTAATGGAAAATGCCCCAGCATCAATGGAAGTAGATGGTGTTCCAGGCCTGGGGCCTGGAAGTAGAGAAGACGTTCCCCGTCTGACCCCAAGAGATCAGGGCACCACAGAAGCTACTATTCGCATGCACAGTAAATATGCATTTGTACTGAATGTGGGGGGCCCTAAAAATGTCTTCACACAGGACCTCTTCATTCGCTATGTCTTCTATTGCCTTCAGCCCCCAGACCAGTCCTGGAGTAGGTCACTGTGGCAACATTCGAAGAGTCCTCCACATGCTATACCATTGTTAAGGTCATCATAGGTCTCTCAATGTACAAAAACAGGAGTAGAGAGACCTCCACTTTGTATAAGAGGAGGTATTGTTGAAGGCACCACATGGTGTCACCAAGCTGCACCTGCCATGATGTCACGAGGCCATGCGGTCAGTACCACCCCGGCGCTGTCATTTGAGTCCGTGCCTTCTAGGCAATGTTTGAAGACCAAATATTCGTCTGCGGCAGAAACAGCCCGTAAAAAAAAAAAAAAAAAAACTTGACAACGCAGTTTCTGCTTACTTCTCTCACCGCTGTCACCTCTATGGAAAAGGGACGAAAAATAATTGGAGAGGAAAAACAAAAGGTTTTCTTCCCTGGCATATGTGAAGCTGAGACATGTGTAATTAATTAAAGCATACAGGAGAAGAAAAACCTCAATTTTCTCCCAGGCTTTGAATTATGGCTGGGGGTGAAAGAAAGGCAGAGCTAGGGGTGTAATTAATCACACAGAGGTGAGAGGGCTTTGCATTTCTTCTGCATACGTACTTCCTGTATGCCAGCGAAATCCTGCAATGAGCAATTAGTCCTGTCAGTTTCTGAAGGGGAAATTAAATTTCTGTTCAGGGGGGGGGGGGGTAAGGGTAGGTAAAACAAAACTTGGCTGAAAGACTGAGAGCGAGATAGCCAACTCACGGTAATAAACGGCTTGAAGGGAAAATAGGCCGATAATGTGACACTGCTCCATGTATAGCCAACGAAGAG